GAGAGTGAGTGAGCTCGCGGCTATGGCGGACGAGGGCGCGCGGCATTCTCGCACTAGCTAGGGTAGGCGCTGGCGAAATTTCGGCTGGCATTTGGCGACAGTAGCTTCTGATCGATCGGCGCCTTGCTCGTGCGCCAATTCGGTGCCAGAAGCCATGGCGCAGAGCAACTGGGAGGCGGATAAGATGTAAGTTACTGCTGCTGCCGCTAATGCCGGTGGTTCCAGCTCGCGCTATCGTGATCTGGGTTCTTGATGAAATGATCGATGATCGTGTTTCTTACGCTTGGATTTTAGGCTGGACGTGTACATCCATGATTATCTCACGAAGAGGAACTTGCAGAACTCGGCAAAGGCTTTTTTCACGGAAGGAAAAGTGTCGTCCGATCCCGTCGGTAAGTTTGTCATCTCGATTGATTTGGTGGAGTCACGAGTGATCCTTTTTTCTTTGGAACTTTGTAGCTATCGATGCACCCGGGGGATTTTTGTTCGAGTGGTGGTCCGTGTTTTGGGATATCTTCATTGCTCGCACGAATGAGAAGCACTCGGAGGTGGCAGCGGCTTACATCGAGGTTGGATCAAACCCTCTTTTTGTTTTTTTTTTTCCTTTGTTCTCGAGGAGCTGATATAGTGAATGTCTTTTAGACCCAGAAACTGAAAGCTCGCGAGCAACAACAGCCTCAAACTCTCCATCAAATGCAGCTTCTCAGGCAGCAGCAGCAGCAGCAGCAACAACAGCAGCAGCAAGCTCAACAGCACCAACAGCAGCATCATCAGCAGCAGCAAGCTCAACAGCAGCAAAGGCCATTGATGAGCAGTCCTTCGGAAGCTCTTCTTCGTCAAGCCACGCCGACGGCTAATGTTATGGCTGCAAAGCTCTACGAGGAGAAGCTCAAGCAAGATGAGCCATCTTTGAAGGTGTGCTAGCAGACGTTTGTTTCTATCTTAAGGCTGAATTTATTTCTTTGTTTTGGCAGAGGTATGGAGATACGTCACTGGATCCAAACCCAGATATCAAGCCTTCAGTTGCTCCTCCAGGGTGTGTAGGATGATGTTGCATTTTCTTTACGACCTTTAACTTTTATTTACTTCTCTTGCGCAGGTCAGCTGGCATTCAGGCTCGTCAGCAACAAGCACTTCAGGTATTTACTCCATGGTTCTTTTGTTCTACAGGTTCTACAAATCTTTTCTATAATGCAGGATAATAAAAGTGATGTTCATTTATTAAATCAAAGATCACCAGCAACTGATCCCGCATTATTCAATATGAAAGGCGGTATATTAGCACCAGGCGCGAACACAAATCAATCCTCAAATTTACTTGTACAGAAGAGCTGGCCGTCTTTGGCTGTAAGTGGTTTTCTGTTTCTATTTTCGTCGCAATTTATTAATGCTTTTTCTCGTAGCAGGGCATGGATCAACGCTTGATCCAGCAGCAGAAACCATTTCTACAGTCGTCCTCACACGCTTACCAGCAATTACATGCATTGACTCCTCATCAACAGCAGCTACTTTTTCAGGCTCAGCCTCAAGGCAGCATTCCCTCATCAGCACTAGCTGATGTAGATCCTCGGCGGTTCAAAATGCTACTCAACAACAGGAATGGAAAAGAAGGACAAGCGAATGTTTTCAACGATCCAGCAGCCGCGGTTATTGGTTCTCCCTTGCAAGCTGCATCACCTCTGTCGCGTGCAACATCTCAAGACCAGGAGCTTCTAATGAAGGTTTGTAACTACTAACACCGACACTTACACGCTAACTGATGATGATTGCTATGCGAAAAATACCCGGTTGAGTCTCCTGAGTTGTCCTTTTGCAGATGCCGGAGAGTACGATGAGATAGTTTCGTCTTTTATATGGTAATCCCCTTAGAGATGCCTGAGACGATGTCTAACTAGCACGGTCCGGTCTTGATTTTATTCGCTTTTGAGAACTAGTGTGTACTAACCGTTTCGCTCATTTTTTCTTTCTTTTTGTTGTGTTCTTTTTCAGATGAAGGTAATGCAGCAGCAGAACAGTAAGTTAAATATGCAGCAAAATAATCCTCAACAAGCTACTCCACAGCAGCCGCAGCAAACTGGAGCTGATGCAGCCATACAAATCTATGGTTCAATTGAACCGAGCCGCAGTAACAACAGCACCGGTACAGCGAAGGTTTGTACTGATTTTGTGATTGTATTTTATATGGATATCTCACACAATATATTTTAGACTGGAACTCGGAGCCAAAGTGGAAGAAAGAGAAAGCAACCGGCATCGTCCTCTGGCCCGGCTAATAGCACTGGAACTGGAAACACCGCAGGTCGATCTCCAAACTCGCCTTCTACACCATCAACTCATACACCTGGGGACGTTATGTCTATGGGTGGCCCGATGCATCAAAGTAGCAGCATTTCTAAATCCTTGATGATGTATGGATCAGAAGGTCACGGTACATTGACGTCACCCTCTAATCAACTGGTAATTGTGGCTTTTTAGCTGTTTTTGTCGAGGACCTCAATATTAATAGTTTGCTCCAGGCTGATATTGACAGGCTCGAGGATGGATTGGATGACAACGTTGAGTCCTTTTTATCTCACGAGGAAACCGATCCGCGAGATGGTCTCTTTAGCAGTACGAAGCCGAGTCCTAATGTCGACGCGTCCAAAGGTGAGTTTCGTGTGTCTTGCAGTTCTTTTTTTTTAGAAGGTTTTATTTGTAGCAGAATTTACGTTCAACTCGGTGGGCTGTCTTCGTGCCAGTACAAATAAAGTTGTGTGCTGCCATTTCTCTTCGAGTGGAAAGCTATTGGCCAGTGCTGGCCATGAAAAGAAGGTGAGCTTCACATTTGCGAGTTTTCTTTTCTGAGCTCTTACAATGCAGGCCGTGCTCTGGAACATGGACACGCTAAAACTCCGGAGTACATTGGAAGAACACTCGTATTTGATAACCGATGTTCGGTTTAGTCCAAATTCGACGCGGTTAGCGACATCATCCTTCGACAAGACTGTACGAGTATGGGATGCAGACAATGTGAGTTCTTAAATTCTTCGTATCTCTTGGCAATGACTTGGTTCATTTTCGCGCAGCCAAGCTATTCCTTGCGCACTTTTACTGGCCATCAAACATCGGTCATGTCCTTAGATTTCCATCCAGCGAACGAAGACCTCTTGTGTTCGTGCGACGGTGATAGCGAGATCAGGTACTGGAGTGTAAGCCAGGGCATCTGCACCAAAGTCTTCAAGGTGAATAGCTCTTACCTTTGAGAGTTTTGTTGACTGGTTTTTGTCGATCTTCACAGGGTGGCGTGACTCAAATGCGGTTTCAACCGCGTCATGGCAGGCTTCTTGCTGCCGCCGCCGAGAACGTAGTTTCTATCTTCGATGTCGATGCCGAGACGTGCAGGCATTCTCTTCAGGTAATCGAGCTTTTTCCAATACGAGCTTTTTCCAAACCACCGAGTCTGTCCGTCTTCCAGAGGCACACGAAGCCAGTGCATTCCGTATGCTGGGATCAAAACGGTGACTACTTGGCTTCCGTCAGCGAGGACTCAGTCCGAGTCTGGACTCTCCGCTCCGGTGGCGATGGAGAATGCGTTCACGAGCTGTGCTCGAACGGGAACAAGTTCCATTCCTGTGTCTTCCACCCGAGCTATCCGTCGCTACTCATCATCGGCTGCTACGAGGTAGGGAAATCGACAAATCTCTTCGAAAGTTGTGTAAACGTTTCGCTGTCTCGCAGTCTCTGGAGCTGTGGAACATGGTCGAGAACAAAAGCATGACAATCCCTGCGCACCAGGGCCTGATTGCGGCCTTGGCACAGTCGCCAGCGACGGGCATGGTTGCGTCGGCCAGCCACGATAAATGCGTGAAGCTGTGGAGATAGAGAAGAGTTCACACACAAGTTGTGGAGAGACGACGATGAAAGGAAGTGAGTGCTCTGCGACATCAGCAATTGTACATGGCCACTGGTACGCAAGTCGCAATCTTTCTTTCCTTACCGCTAAGAAAAAAATCACTCTTTTTTGGGTTTTTGGTCTTAATAGATTGGAAAGGTTTCTATGTAGATACGAGCTGAGGAAAAAAAAAAAAAATTAGAACTTTGGGAGGAGAAAATGAGTAGCATTTGTTTTTTGACGATTTTTGTTTTTGTTCTTGGGCACTGAATCTGAATCTGAATCGAATGAAATGAGTAACTCCTTTCTTTTTAACGATTTTTTTCTGAACTTTTTTGTTGTTTGGGCGGTGAATCTGAATCTGAATCGAAGGAAATGAGTAACTCCTTTTTTTTTGACGAATTTTTTCTGAACTTTTTGCTGTTTGAGCAGTGAATCTGAATCTGAATCTTGAGTGTTTTGGCCCACCTGGATCTGACTCGCAGAAAAAAAAAAAAGTGTTTTTCGCGATTGTGAAGGGACGCGTGTTTGATCCTTGTCTGAAACTTTTCTCTCGCTCTCTCTCTTTGGTGGCAATTTGTTTGGAGATCCGAGCGCGTGTCAAGTTGGCGGTGGAAGGAAGCTTTTCTTCTTTTTCTCTCTTTCCTATTTCTTTGATGATTGCGCGATCGCCAATAATGTTCCATTTCCTAAAGCTTGATCCGCGAGATCTGAGCTACTGCGCTTTTGTTTTCTTGCTACAAAAACAAGAGAGGGTTTGCTCTAAAGTTTTCTCGTGCATGTAGGTAACACTCGGTTGGATCATCGGCGAGAGAGGATTTCCAGGCGCGAATCGCGATCATGGCGGCCCCCATTCTTTCGAGTAAGCGATCGGTCGATTCTAGCGCCCATGGATCGATCCAGCGATGATTTCTCCCCTGGTGGTTTCTTGAATTGGTTTGATTGTGGTCCTGTTTCCTAGCCGAGCGCGATGCCCAGCTGAGCTACTGGAAGGAGCACTCCACCGCGCTGACCGTGGAGGAAATGCTGCTCGACAGCCAGGCGGCGAAGCTCGATCAAGAGGAGCGTCCCGAGGTATGGAAGGAGAACGAAAGAGCGAGAAAGAAGGGAAACTATCTCTCGAAATTCTTTTTGGTTTCTTCCAGATCCTGTCAATGCTTCCTCCTCTGGAGGGGATCAGCGTGGTGGAGCTTGGGGCCGGCATTGGGCGATTCACTGGCGACTTGGCAAAGTCTGCCAAGCATGTTGTCGCCATGGATTTCGTCCAGTCGGTCATTGACAAGGTTAGTTTCTTCCTCTTTCTCTTTGAGTTTTTTCTCTTTCCTTGCTGATTCTAGACAAGAGCTTTTGCGTCTTCTTCTCGATTGTTTCTCGTCGCTAGACAAGATCTTTTCTTCTTCTTCTCGGTGACTAAGGAAGATCTTTCTCTCTTTTTTTTGTTTTTGTAGAACAAGGAGGTGAATGGATGCCACAAGAACGTCGAGTTTCTGTGTGCCGACGTTACTTCCCCCAGCCTCACTTTTCCTCGCTCCTCCAAGGATCTCATCTTCTCCAATTGGCTACTCATGTATCTCTCCGACGATGAGGTTGGTCTCCTCCATTTTTTCATGTCTTCCTCGAGCTAAAAATCGATCTTAACAATCACAGGTAACGGCGCTCACCAAGAAGATGATCTTTTGGCTCAAACGCGGGGGTTCTATTTTCTTCCGGGAGTCGTGCTTCCACCAGTCTGGAGATCACAAGCGCAAGAACAATCCCACGCATTACCGGGAGCCTCGCTTCTACAACAAGGTAGAGATGACAAAAATTCGAGTAGACACCCGACTTTAGATTCTTTTCTCATCAACTTTGTCCAGATCTTTGAGGAGTGCTACATCGCAGAGGAGGATGGAAGCTACTCCAAGCTGCAGCTCGTCTTGTTCAAGTGCGTCTCGGCCTACGTCAAGAACAAGAGGAACCAGAACCAGGTACAACTTTCGCTTCGTTTTCACTACCATACAAACTTGGAGCGTTCTCTCTTTTCGTGTAGATCTGCTGGATGTGGAAGAAGATCAAGTGCACGGGCCCCGATGGCTTGAAGTTTCAGCAGTTTTTGGACAACGTCCAGTACACACAGCGCGGCATCCTTCGCTACGAGCGGATATTTGGTGAAGGTTTCGTAAGCACTGGAGGACTCGGTAAGCTTTGGTTCTTTCGCTCCAAACGTTTTCCATCTCCTGACATTTTCTTTCCCATCTCTCCATCTTTCTAAGTTCGAAGAAGCTTCAACATACAGATTTTTCTTTGCTCTACCTCACATCCTCTTGGGCTTGTGTTGACACAGAAACAACCAAAGAATTTGTAGAGAGCCTCAAGCTCGAGGCCGGGCAAAAGGTGCTCGACGTTGGCTGCGGCATCGGGGGCGGTGATTTCTACATGGCCGAGGACTTCGACGTCCAAGTCGTTGGCATCGATCTCTCGGTAAACATGGTGTCCATCGCTCTGGAGCGCTCCATCGGACGCAAGTGCTTTGTCGAGTTTGAAGTCGCGGATTGCACCGAGAAGAACTTCCCCGCCGAGAGCTTCGACGTCATCTACAGCCGAGACACCATCCTCCATATCCAGGTAACTCTTTCTTCTCGCTTCCATCTCGCGGCTTTGCTTTTCCTTTTGTCTGTGTTTCTGAGTTCCAGGTGTTCTTCGCCATGCTTCCAGGATAAACCAGCCCTGTTCGCGAGGCTCCTTTCGTGGTTAAAGCCCGGCGGCAAACTTCTCATCACGGACTACTGCCGATCGAAAGACGAAGTCTCTGCCGAGTTTCTCGAGTACATTAAGAAACGAGGCTATGATCTTCACGACGTGGATCACTATGGCCAGGTAACTCTACTCTACGCTCCTGTTCTTTCTTTGGTGATTCATATTCACGACGTCACTGTTTCGGAACAGATGTTGAGAGACGCTGGTTTTGTGGATGTCGTGGCAGAGGATCGCACAGACCAGGTAAAAAAGAGTTTTGTGCCGTGTTAAATGGTTTTCTTAGCTTCCTTTTTGCTTTAGTTTGTGCGCATCCTGACCAAGGAGCTGGATGCTGTGGAGCGAAACAAGAAAAGCTTCTTGCAAGACTTTTCAGAGGCAAGTGACAAGGTTTCTCGTTGATGATAAGTTGAAAGCTTGTTTACGTGATCTCTGTGTGTGATGATCCAGGAAGACTACGAGGATATTGTCCATGGCTGGAAGTCCAAACTGGTGCGATGCGGCCAAGGCCACCAGAAGTGGGGACTTTTCCGCGCAACCAAGAAGATGTGATCTTCATTCTTTTGTTCCAATCTTTTGTTCCAAACCAATTTTTTCTTGAACTTCCGAGAGTTACCTCAAGATCATAGCCTCGTTTCTTAGAGAGAGTACTTGGTTCGTAGCAATCTAATCGCTGCCTAGCCACAGCAAGGTAATGGCGAGGCTGGGAGGAGTAACGTCAGTACACCAAAAACTCAGTTCCATTTACCTCCTTGGTTCTCTCGATCGATCCTCATGCTATCGTGATCGCCAGAGATCGCTACTATCTGAACAGATTGGAGCTGAAAATGAGTTTCTTATAGAACGAAAAAAGAAGGAAAACCACTTTTAAGAAGCCAGGAAACCTGACTAAAAGAATGACGCGTGCCTTGTGTTGTCAGCCACCCCCGAGCAAAGCAGCATCTATCAAACAGGATACGCTGCTGCTCGCTTCAAAAGGTTGTCACAACGAGAAAAACTTCTCCCAGAGCTCTTCTGGTTCCTCGCCTTCTTTGATTACCTGCAAGGAGCGAAAATCCATCACTCCAGAAGAACGAAACGAACGAAAGATAAAAACTTACACTGGCAGGCTTGTCACTGTGAATGTCCATGCGCTTGAGGAAGCCAGCTCCAATTTGCTCCCAGTTTGGACCTCCAGCCTCGTCCAGGCAGGGAGAACCAACGCCGTCAATGCAAATCCCAGCCTTGCTTCCCACCCAGATGAACAAGTCGCCAGCGTCTCTCCCCGTGACTCGGTTCACTAGAATGTAGACGCTGCTGGAATCCAAGTCGTGCCTGCCGGACAAGTCGACGTTCTTGAGCCGGGGCCACTCGTAAATCCTCCTCTTCTTATCCCCGTTGTTGTCAATCTCCATCGCCCGGTCACTGTCTGGACTTGGAGTGGCGGAAGCGTCCAAGCCAGCGCTTGCGTCGGAATCCGACTTAAAGCTGAAGGTCTTTCCAAACCTCGGAGTTGGAGGCGGCTCCTCGACCATGCTGCCGAGAAAGAGCGATGGAGGCATCCCTCCCCTACGCTCTGCCAGCGACACGGACGATGGTTTCCCCGATGGCGCGGCCGACGGGAACCGCAGTGGAGAAGGAGCCGGAGAAGTGTAGCGACTCGAGGCCGATGACTCGTCCGAGGAGGCTGGAGACCACGAGTAGGACGAAGCCGGCGAAGGAGTTGGCGATGCCGAGAAGAAGTAAGACGGAGACGGGCAGCCCGAGGCTGGGGGCGACGATGATGGTGTAGAGGTTTCCGAGAGTGGAGAATGCGGAGAGCCGCTCCTTGTACACCCCGACTCCTTGATAGCCGCCACCTTTTCCTTGACGGATCCCGAGAAGAACTTCTTCCTCAGCCTGCTCCAGCCACTGACCCTTGCCGGTATGTGAGTTACCACGGCACCAGACGGTGGAACCACTCCTTGCAACGCTCTGTGGTAGAGCTCAAAGTCCAGGTCGTACGCTTCCACCCGCTTCAAGTCGCCCTTGAGTCGATCGTATCCCCCTTCCAAGTTGCTCGAGCCTTTGCTGAAAGCCTCCCAGAAGTCCTCAGGTTCCTCACCCTCGAATATGGACATGATCGGAGCTTGCGCCCTCTCATATCGCACAACCTGTCCAGCAGCCGCTTTGGCAAGGATCTCCATCTCCTTCTCGCACTTCCTTCCGATCCACACGAAGATGGCACTGGGTACGTGAACCACAAACGCCCCCCTTGAGTCGAGCGCCGTCGGGCTTGGATTGTTGATGGTCTTGGGAACCAGGTGCAGTGCATCGTAAGGCGAGTGTGGCGCCATCCGGTACATGCGAAGGATCGAGTTCGGGCTCGCGGGAGAGGCATGGACTCGTTTCTGTGCTTGGAGGAGCTGGCACGCAAATCCCATGTTCGGATTGGTGATCCCCCTGGCAGCTTTCACGTCCTGGAACGCATCCTCAAAGCTCCGTCCCTCTCTCCACATCAAGTACGCGATCACCAGCGCTGTGGATCGAGACACACCTTGGCAGCAGTGGACAAACACCCGGCCACCCAGCTCCCGGACCTCCTCAAAGTAGTCAAAAACGTCGTAGAGGATGCTGGTGATGTCTTCCGAGGGACTGTCTTGCAGCCACAGAGTGTGGTACTTGAAGTCGTCCCGGAAGTACTCCTTGCAGATGAATCCCACGCAGTTGAGTACGTGAGTGATCTTGTTGGCTAGCAAAGTCTCCCGGTTCCTGGCCACAGCATCACTCCCCAAGTAGATGTGCTCGGCCACCCTCGAGCACTCTTTCTCGAAGAACGCAAACTTGTCCCTCTTCATTTGCATCTCCGTTGGCTCGGACGAATCCCGGCAGCGCTGCACGGCAGCGAGGTCGAGCTTGATCTCCAGCCCGTTCTTCATCCGGTTTATATCCCTGCGTGGAGTAAGAGGAGCCCAGTCCCTGGCCTCGTCGTTCCCAACTCTCCCAGAGGTTAGCAGCGGTGGTAGCGTTGGCCCTCTCCGGCTACCCTGTTGCCGAGGCGTGAGAGGAAGCTGATACGATGTGCCAGGCTTGTCCATGGGAAGAACTGGCCTTCCGGGACTCGGGGGCGCGGAATGCGAGGACGACCATGAAGCCGACCGCCAAAATCTCTTCTGGACCTTGTCATCGCTACTGCTACTGCTGCTACATCCATCCTCCGGAGCATTCTCACCTCCCTCGAGCTTCTCGGTTAACATTGGCTCGCCCATTCCAAGCTCTTCTTGGACAGCGGCCGCGATATTACGCTCCTATTCTCATCGCTACCCCGCGATTCCTACCCTGTCCTCCGAGATCACCAATGCTCGTGACCTAGTAGCGCTCGAGCAGCAGTAACCCTCACCTGGAGATTCCCGAGGCGCTGATGATGCAGCGCCGCCGGTGAGCTCGATCGATCGAGAGCGCAGAGCCAGCGCCAGCATGAGCAGTAGCGCCAGGGAATCCCGTGAGCGCGACACGGCGGCGCTCCAAGACCAGGTCCACAATGCGCCTAGCCTCTCCTCCTCCCATCCACAAGCCCTAAAAAAGAAAGAGTGTAGTGTAGCGTTGGGGTACTGTTGCTTGGAGAGAGAGCGCTCGCTTCTTCCAATCGCAGCTCCGTCGCAGTCAAAACGTATCTCTGATGACATGGCCGTGACGTGGCACGTAAGCTAATGGGACTCGAACCCCCCGGCGACCAAGTCCAAGGTGGAAAAAAATGGTAGTCTTTTTCGCGCTAGCTCGACAATCAATCATAGAGAATTTACAGTGTGAATGGAAACGAGAAGATAAGCAGCGATCTCGCTAGCGAGTGAGAGCGATTTTAGAGAATCCAAATTGGATGAAGTTTTGATGATCAAGCTATTGGCGAGCGAGCAGGACTGGATTGCTCGGGACTTTCCGCGGTCTCGTACTGCGTTGCCAGGCACATAAAACTTCCCACTGGAGGGTTGCCGGCATTGGTAGTACCAGTAGCAGCGTTTGGATCTGCGATAGTCGTAGACAAAACCATCAGCAACGAATTATCATATCACGTAGATTTGCTACGTACCAAACAATGTCTTGATCGAGGGTCTCCTCGGCCTCCCCTTCTTTCTCAACTCGGCTGTGGTTTCAAGAGAAAGAAAATTTTTAGTGACCGAAAACATGTTGGAGAGAACTTACCCATCCCAGGAACACGGGCATCTTGGTGAATTTCAAAGTTCTTGTACGTGTAACCAACGAAATTAACATCTCTCGAAGGTAGCATCTAAAAGAGCAAGACGGTGAGTGCAACGGAAAATAAGATGATCAACACAAGAACAACTTACTTTTCTCCAAGGTCCGGACTTCGAAGCCGGTTGGGCTTGCGAATTACTCTGTTCAAGAGAGAAAGAAAAAAGTGAAACCATTCGAATCATATATGCTACAAACTTACGTCTTCAAATTTTTCGAAGTTCTGGGTATCCAGTTCATTCGCAACTTCGGGCTTGAAAGCAGCTTCCATATCATAGAGCTTGTTCCAGTCGACACCTTTGAACCAGGAATGTCCCTGAAAGTGGATCCAGTTAGCTTATCAGGAAAAAACACGATGATAAAACTATTACCTTTAACTCGTGGACGCCTCTAGTCCCAAGACGATGCTCTACATCGCAGATCAGCCGACTAATAAAATCCTTGGCTTCGGCGGAGAGCTTAGCCTCCTCTGGAAACTTGAGGTGCATTCTCCAATTGACTATCTGTCAATGAAACAAGACATCTTAACGCGATGCTATCTGATCAATAACAATCACACATAAAAATACAAAAATGCGTAGTTATGAGGCAAGCGAGTACAAAATTCATGAATAGTCAATCAAGATGTGATGGCGTACCTTCCGGCAAGTAGACATCGGTTCGTCGGAATAGAAGGGCGGATACCCGACTAGCATCTCGTACATTATAGCTCCAAGAGACCACCTAGGCACCATAAATCAATCAAGCCGGTAGATATTTTCAATCAGAAATGCCTCTTACCAATCACACTCCATCCCGTATCCCTTCTTCAGTAGAACTTCGGGAGCAATATAATCTGGCGTCCCGACAGTTGAATAAGCCTGTTAAAGGAAACTTAGATAAAAATCGGGACAAAAGGAAGTACAAGCTACGCACCAGCATTCTTCTGTTTCGTTGCCAATGCAATAGTTGCTCCTGCTGCGTGCGTCTGCGAGCAGGAGATTTCAGTGCCTCGAAGGTTAATGCGTCTTTGATCTTTTCCTCTATACCTGGCTCATTCTCATATAAAGCTGGTAAGTTAGAGCAGTCTAGGGGTTTACACAACCCGAAGTCTGACAATTTCATGTGACCATTCTTATCAAGTAGAAGATTATCAGGCTTGATATCCCTGCACAGAAGACACAGAAAAACTGGTAAGTTCAAGCCATGTTCTCGACTCGCAACATACCTGTGAATGTAGTTGTGCCTGTGAATGGACTCGATTGCCAAAATGGCCTGCCCGACGTAGAATCTAGCTTCATCTTCTGTTAGTGTGTCCTTCCGCATAAGCAGCGTCATCATGTCGCCACCAGGAAGATACTCCATGATGAGATACAAATATTCATCGTCTTGAAAGGAACAAAAGAGTTTCACTATACAATTACTGTCAACCTCTGCTAGGAGATTACGCTCTGCTCTAACATGCTCCACCTGAAAAAATCACGAGAGCATCAGCACCGGAGTGATTGGCAAGAGTCTAATAACGTAGCGCTTGCCTGTCCGCGCCTAAGCATTTCGGATTTCTGGAGCTTCTTCATTGCATACACCTGTCCCGATCGCTTCTCTCTACATAATCTAACCTGCAAGTTCACAGTGCTTTGCGGATAAGTTTCAAAGCGAAACGCTTGCATTAATCTTACCTCTCCGAATGCTCCTCTACCGATAATTGTCAGCAACTCAAAGTCCTCCACCCCCATCTTATGTCTTTGAAGTCTCATATACTCAGTCTCTTTCCTCGCCAAGTCCCTCCGAATTCGGTTTTGTTCTTCTTCGCTGACATTAGAAGCGGCCAGTTTCCTCTCTAGCATCCATCGCCTGATAGAAGATAAATGACCACAAAAGAAAAAAAACCATTAGAACACAGATCGTATGGACGTAAAGAGAAGATTTATCTATCTATATTGAAATGGTATACGTACCGCTCCCTGCGTTCCTGGAGATTTTTCATTTGGGATTTGTAGTGATTCTCGATGTATTGCTTGGCGGCCGCGACCTTTTGCTTGGTAACGTTGGAGGGCTGGTCACCATGCTTCCCTGCTTCCTTGGTTCCCCCTACTCGAGGGGCTATGGGACGCTTTGGCTTCGATCTCTCCACTGGCTGCTTCTTCTCCTCGGGCTTTACCTTCTTCTTCTTCGAGAACCAGCTAAACCAGCCCTTGCTCTTCGGAGGATCCATTGCCCAGCGCAAATCAGCTCCCCTCCATATACATTTGCAAATCCAATCCCGAAATATTTTCCCAAATTTCTAGCTCTAGCTACGCTCGATTCCTCCCCACCTGTGTTCTACTTCTACTCTAGCTAGCGAAGATCCCATGGCGCAAAATCCCAGCCGCCGAAGAGGACGAAGAACACAGTCGCGAGGATAATATTTGCCCAATTTCTAGCTCTAGCTACGATTCCTGTGCTCTACCTAGGGAAAATCCGATGACGCTCCAGCTACCGGAGTAGACGATGAGCAATCCGCCGCGCAGCGCCAGAAATTTCTTCCTCGAAGAACGAGCGTGAGATTGTCGAGCAGCGCTGCTCGCTGCGCCATCACCTCGAATCGAAAGCGCTCGCAACAAATCTGTGGCAGCAACAGCTGACCTAGAAAAATAAAAAATGTAGCTCCACGAGATTGGGTGTGAGAGAGAAGGAAGGCGAGACGCTACTCTCTTCCGCCAATGTGGCGACGCGGCCTTGTGCGGCACACGTGCGTCAGCCGCACGGCCAATCTAGCGAGTGGAAAGTAAAGCACCAAACACCGCGTCCAGCACCGCGCGGTGGCCGAGCGCGGGGAAATACGCAGGGGACTTGAATGCCAAAGCTGGAATTAAGAGCCCCGGCCTCTGCCCCGCTGGCGCCATTAAGGCCGTCGATCTCCGCGACCGGACGACGACGATTGCAAGGCGGCATTTAGTGGTGCATGTGCCGACGCTTATTAATGAAAGCCCCGGAGAGCACGCGACGGAGATGCGCGACGGAATATGCTCCTCACGGCCCCTGATATCTAGGAAACTTTGTTTAGGGCTATACTTGACCTTAATGGTTTGCTATAAATGAAACCTTTAGGGCTCTTGAGTTAGGGTTCGTGAGGATCCCGCTATGGCGCTCAAGTTTCTCAACAAGAAGGGATGGCACACGGGCAGCCTGCGCAACATCGAGACGGTGTGGAAGGCCGCGAGGCGGAGAAGCGGAAGCTCGAGGAGCTCCAGAAGCAGATCAGGGAGGAGCAGGATCATTTGGAATTTCGCAAGCTCCACGAGCAAGCGGGGCTGGTGCCGTAAGTGTTCTAGCTAGATTTTAGATTTTCTCTGCGCGCCAGCGAGTGACTGATGGGAATTTTGCTTGGTTTTTCCAGGACGCGGGGTTGGGCGTTGGCAAGCCGTCGAATGAGGAGTATTTGCTTGGTAAGCCTCTCGAAGAATCCAAAGAGGAGAGAGTGATCCAGCAGGTGGCCGCCACGCCGGGATCGCTGTTCGTGGAAGAGAAGATCTCGGCTAATGACAAGTGGAGGAAAACTCGGTCGGATCCTTTGCTCTTGATTAAGCAGCAAGAGCTGGCCGCTCGGGAACGAATCAAGAGCAATCCTTTGAAGATGGAAGCTTTGCGAAAAGAGGTATGTTTTTCTTCCCTCCTTTTAGGATTGCCTGTGAACTTTTTCTAACACAAAACTGGAACTTTGATTGTTTTTGCAGGTAGAGAGCAAGATGGAAGCTAAAGACGAAAAGAAGCGATTGAAAGCACAGATAAAAGCCGAGGAGAAGCAGAAAAGGAAGGCGCTGAAGAAGAAAATGAAAGAGAACGGTGAAGCTGGCGAGCCAGAAGCAAAGAGAGCTGATCGAAGCAGAAGAGCCGCCGAGGAGGATGACGATGGAAACAAAAGAGCTTCCGATGAGGATGACAGGTATAGCAGGAGGAAAAGATCTGCCGAGGACAGCGACGAGGAAGACAGGCATAGAAACAAAATAGTTGCTTCTTCACGGGATGATCGAGAAGATCGCAGCAAAAGAATTCCCGAGACAGACGAGCAAGACAGGTACAGAAGCAACCAAGTTCGCGAGGGCGATGATACGAGAAGTAGAAAGCGGGAGAGACGATAGCCCAGACGTGGATGATCGGCATCGCAGGCACGAAGACGGGACAGGGAGGAAAACCGTGGCTCCGGCAAGCCACCGCTGCCGCGAGGAGGAGAAGATGGCGCGGCTGAGAGAGATGCAGCAGGACGCGGAGCTCCACGAGGAGCAGCGATGGCAGCGGATCAAACGCGCCTCGGCGAGCGACGCTGTCCAGGAGGAGAAGGACTCGATCACGTCGGGGAAGAACTTCCTGGACGAGACGAACAGGAGTGTCTATGGCACCGAGAATGGAGGCAGTGCCTCGGTCGCGGACACTTTGCATCGGCGATCGCACTACCGCGAGAAGTTCACGGACAAGAACGCGTTTAGGCGATCATACGTAGAGATGGCAAAGAAACTTTTTGGGTGTAAACTATCATCGACTGGGAAGAACTAAAGAACCATTTGATCAATCAATTGGAGTTCTTTTAGTATGAGAGGTCATGGAATTTATTGACAATTGGAGGAATCATCGATGAATGGGAGCATTTTCGTTTCTATCGCTAGTATCTAGTGCCAGGGATGAGAGTATCGAAGAAATGGAGCCTTGGGTCTTGATGCTGTGGGATACAACCACTGCCCATCACTCCTCCCCCTTGGTTCTTGTGATCCTGAGCTTGGATCTTGCTGCTTGCCCCTTGGCTGTGCGCTCCTGACGAGGGATCCTGGTGGAATTGCTCATGATCTGGCGAATTCGCGGAGGAGGAAGGCGAGTCGTGATGGAAGTGATGGACTCGAGCCTCGTAGATCGCTGCAGTGGCCGTGGCAGCCGCCATAGTTGCCATAGATTTGAAGTAAGCCATAGATCCTGTAATCTATAGCATGGAATTGACGCGAATTGGAGGAGAGGATCTGGATGCTAGCGCTACTGGCTACCGGATTGATCGAATTGGAGGGAGCGGAGATGGGAGGGGATGAGATCGCAGAGCACAGACTGTGCCACCAAACGAGGAATGGTGCTTTTATTGCGTCAATCGAAAGCGTGGAGCCAGACGTGGTCAAGAACACACGCCTAGTGGCGGCGAATCTATGCAAGCCACGTGGCTTTTTGCGCGTACGTGGCGAGATTCCAGTCCCCTTGACGCGCCAGTTTTTTCTAGAAATTGCTTCTCCAAAAGCGTCTTGATTGAATTTTTCCCAATCAAACTTCTCGAGGATTTGATTGACAGTGATCACCATCAATTGGATTGGATCATCCATGAACCTCCTGTGAAATTCTGCTCTATGCTGGTTTCATCTCTGGATTGAGATAGTCAAATTTTCAGAATGGTTGTACAAAGTGATTGTTGTGTGGCTTGATCATTTCTGGGGGATTTCGCTTTGTAAGCACTTTCAATATAGCCAATAGTCATGTAGAACAGTGTGTCCCTGGAAAGTCTGAAATTTCTTAGTTTTGAATGATCCACAATGATCATGTGGTGGAACTAGATTCTTAGATGCTGGCAAAAAATTCTCTCCATAATATATGGATCTATGCTTAGATCTAATGTAAATTCAGTACTAGCAGACATAATATGCGATTCCCACTGGCAAAGGTTTTATACGGGTGTGATATCACGGTTTGAAGAATCTTTACCGATCGCGATTGCATATTAATTTACAGCCCCACTTTCTCAAATTGAGACATGCATGTTTGAATTTTACAAATGGAAATCCCAAAGTTGCAAAGACGATGGTGGTGTAGGTCAAGACACTAATCTCCGAATCGATGATTGTTTCTACAACTCTCAAGGCACTAGCCAAGATTGCATCCACAGATATGCTTTTTTTCTCATAGAGAGCAATGTATGGTCAAGAGGTTTTATTGGATGGAATAAAAACGTGTAGCAATCTATCTGCAGCTTGTAAGCTTCACAATGAGATCTAGCACGTCCTTGCGGCAGGAGATTGTTTGGCATCCAATTTTCTGGTGCAAATGTATGGGAGGTGTGGATGCCCTGAGGCGGCATGGCAAGTATCTAGATCGAGGAATGGAATGCCATGCCGCATCAGACAGCCATCTTGACCAAGCAAAGCAGTTGTTTGATCGAATGGGACCTTGTTTCATGGTCGATCATGATCACTGCCTTCTCTCGGCATGGCTTACTCCTTTTTTTTATTCCATGAATTGTGTGTGTGTGTGAGTGAGAGAGAGAGAGAGAGAGAGAGAGTATGCCACAAAAGTGCAAAGATAAAAGTAATGTTGATCATGAAACTAATCTCCGAATTGATGATTGTTTCTACAACAACCAAGGAACCATCCAAGATTGTTCATGATTATATGGTTTTTTCAACAGAGAACCATGTTAACACTAGATTGTCGAGAGCTTTTGTTGGATGAAATAAAGAAGTGTACCAATCTATCCACAGCCTCTAAGCTCCACAATGAGATTGAGCACCTCCTCGCAGTAGGAGACTGCTTGGCATGCAATTTGGTGGTGCAAATGTATGGGAGGTGTGGATGCCCAGAAGCAGCATGGCAAATCTTCTGCGGCTCTACATCACGGAATCGATTCTCGTGGAATGCCATGCTCTCTGCCTTCGCATCAAACAGCCACCTTGACCAAGCAAAGCAGTTGTTTGATCGAATGCCCGAATGGGATGTTGCTTCATGGTCAATCATGATCACTGCCTTCTCTAGGCATGGCTTACTCCTACAGGCGAAAGAAGTTTTCGATTCCATGAGAGAGGCCTTGTAGCATGGAATGCAATGATCTTAGCATATGCCACAAACGGGCATTTGGATAAAGAAATGCAGCTCTTTGAGCTTATGCCAGAAAGGAGCTTAATATCTTGGACCACAATTCTATCCAAATCCACCAAATTGTTTCAAATAACGACACTCTTCAGCCCCATGCCTGAGAGAGACCTTGTTGCTTGGAACTCCCAACTATCAGCACTTGCCCAAGCTGGGCATTTGCAGGAGGCGAAGCACATCTTCTCCAACATGCCAGAATTTGATGCTCTGTCTTTTACGTCCATGATTCAGTGCTTTGGCCAGCACGGCCTTTTGGAAGATGCCAAGTGTTTCTTCCTCGCGCTGCCTCACAAGGATTTGGTTGCCTCCACGGTTTTTCTTGTCGTCTTGGCGGAAAGTGGCTGCTTTCACGAGGCAAAGAATCTGTTTGAGTCGATGGAGTGTATCGATGTGGTTTCATGCGCGGTAACCCTGTCCGCTTACGCAGATCACGAGGACAGTAGCATCGCGGAGGCTGAGCAAATATTTTACACCATGCAGCGCCACAACGCGTTTGCTTGCACTGCAATGCTGCGCTTGTATTCTCGATGAGGACGGACTCACGACACCGAAGCCATATATTTAGGTCTGCAAAGAAACTCTTTGATGGAATGAAGGAGCGAAACGAGGTTATGTGGACTGCAATGCTGACAGGATATGTAAACAACCCACAGGATAGAAGACGCCCTGTGGATTTTCGAAAAAATGCCGGGTCACAGCGAGATACCGCTGATTGTGCTCATGTCGGCATATGCCCGAAGTGGACATATGCTTCTTGCCAAGAGAATTTTTGACAACTCCAATGAAAAGAGCGCTATTGCTTTCAATGCTCCCTTGTCTGGTTTTGCATCAAATTCTCAGTTACTGGAAGCCAAAAGTGTGTTTGATTCAATCCAAGAGAGAAACCAATCTTCATGGAGTGCAATGCTTTCTGCATATACCCAAAACGGGCATCTGGATATGGCAAATCGGATATTCTTAACAATGCCGGACAAGGATCTCATACCTTGGGATGCAATGCTGGCAGCATACTCTTGGATTGGGGCCATTTTGAGAGCCTTGGATGCCTTGCAAACCATGGTCACTACTAATACACCTGATGAAGCTAGTTTAACAGCTTTGCTCACGTTGTGCGCTCACAAAGGCACTGTTGCCATAGCTCGGGATCTCTTTGTGTCTTTCCAGTTTGATCACTCTATCAAACCCTCAAAGCAACACTACTCGTGTATGATTGGTGTGCTTGTCAGATCCAAGATGCTGAGAATCTTCTGTGGGAGATGCCATACTACCCAGATTCCATGGATTGGAAGTGCTTGCTTGGAGCTGTAGCGAGTGGAGATGCAATGAAAAATGCCATTAGTGTGGAGCCTAGTAACAGTGCTCCATATGTTCTTATTGCCAATTCTCACATAGTTACAATGCAATGAAAAATGCCATTAGTGTGGAGCCTAGTAACAGTGCTCCATATGTTCTTATTGCCAATTCTCACATAGTTACATAGCTTAAATATTTTCAAAAGATTATATCAATTTTCACAACTATATCAAATTTTCTCACAAGGTGCCATGGTTTTGGTTAGCTATTTGATCGGCATTTATAAAGATCCCATGGAATCCATATGGAACTCCAGCAGGCAACTCTAGAAAAGCCACTGTCTCAAAGTGTGGGTGATTTGGCATCTATGACCAAAAGCTCCGAGACCCCATTTTTCTCATCATGGACGTAGCTTAAGACGTATCCATCCCCTTTCTCCTCACCATTCGCCACAAAACTTACCACGTTCGAATCTCCTTGACACCACAATGCACGGCTCCTTGAGGTCCGGGTCACTTGTTCCATCAATTACCACACTGGACAGCCGTGGGGTCCAGATCGACCTTGGCCACGCCCGACAATTTGGGCCATGGCCCATAGTAGCGCATGTAGACGTACCGGTTCTTCTGCCCCAGGAATTTCTGGTTGATCTTTCCAAAATCCAGTCCCGCCGAGCACACATGTTGCTTCCATGACCGAGATTGAGATTGTTATCCTTGCCTCAAAACCAAATTTTAAGAATGGTTGTACAAGTGATTGTTGTGTGACTTGCTGCTTGGATCATTTCTGGGGGATTTCGCTTTGTAAGTGAATTCAATATAACCAATAGTCATGTAGAACAGTGTGTCCTTGGAAAGTTTGAAGGTTCCTAGTTTTGAAGTGTGGCGGGACTAGATTCTTAGTTGCAGGCAAAAAATTCTCTCCATAATTTATATGGATCTATGCTTAGAACTAATGTAAATTCAGTACTAGCAAACATAATATGCGATTCCCACTGGCAAAGCGGTGTGACATCACGGTTTGAAGAATCTGTACCGATCGCGATCGCGTATTAATTTACAGCCCCACTTTCGACATGCATGTTTGAATTTTACAAATGGAAATCCCAAAGCTGCAAAGACGATGGTGGTGTAGGTCAAGACACTAATCTCCGAATCGATGATTGTTTCTACAAATCTCAAGGCACTAGCCAAGATTGCATCAACAGATATGCTTTTTTTCTCATAGAGAGCAATGTATGGTCAAGAGGTTTTATTGGATGGAATAAAAACGTGTAGCAATCTACCTGCAGCTTGTAAGCTTCACAATGAGATCAAGCACGTCCTTGCGGCAGGAGATTGTTTGGCATCCAATTTTCTGGTGCAAATGTATGGGACGTTTGGATGCCCTGAGGCGGCATGGCAAGTATCTAGATCGAGGAATGGAATGCCATGCCACATCAAACAGCCATCTTGACCAAGCAAAGCAGTTGTTTGATCGAATGGGACCTTGCTTCATGGTCGATCACAATCACTGCCTTCTCTCAGCATGGCTTACTCCTGTTTTTTATTCCATGAATTGTGTGTGTGTGTGTGTGAGTGCATCTTTGAGCTTATGCCGGAAAGGAGCTAATCTCTTAAACATAAACGCTGCATGCTGTAAAAATTCTGCTCAGCCTCAACTGTCGTCGTGATCTGCGCAAGCACAGCACAAGACAATGGACTCGTGAAGCAGCCACTTTCCGCCAAGATGACAAGAAAAGCAGTGGACGCAACCAAATCCTTATGAGGGTGGCCAAAGCACTGGGCGTGAACGACAAAGGAGCAAATTCTGGCATGTTGGAAAAGATGTTCTTCATGCCCAGCTTAGGCAGATGAAAGTTCCAAGAAACAAAATCTCTCGGCATAAAAAAGGGTCCTTAATTGGCATATGCTGCGCTGTATTCTCAAGAACGGACTCATGACGCCGAAGCCATATATTTAGGTCTGCCTGATCAAAGCGATCATTTAGTCCGGCAACATCTAAAGAATCTCTTTGATGAATGACGAGACGAGGTTACGTGGACCGCCATGCTGACAGGGTATGTTAACTACCAGAAGTTGGAGGAAGCGTTCGAAACAATGCTGATCACAGCGTGATAGCAGATTGTGCTCTTGCCCGAAATGGACGTGTGCTTTTTGCGAAGAGAATGTTTGACAACCCCAATGTTCTCGAATATGTTTGTTCATCAATAAGAATATTTAGCTACTTCATCACCGAATCCTACGTGGACTACATGGCAAAAAATTTTGCTCCATAAAGGTTGATTGGATTTTCACTTGCCAATAAATCTCAGCGTTTGTACTTCAAAAAACTAATTTTTAGAATGGGTGTGCAATTGATAGTTTCTATTGTTGCCTCGCTTGCTGCTTTGATCATTCCTAAAACATTTGGATGTGGGAATTTCTCACTTACTTGTCATATAGCTGAATTCAGCTCAACCATTATTCATGTAGACTGGTGTCTAATATTTGGTCTTGAACACTCACATCCACAATGATAATGGGAATTTAAAGTGTGGCGGGGCAAATTTCTTAGAGACACCTCAGTACCTTCTTAAAACATTAACTCGTCAAGAAATTTTCTTTGCACGCCCATGGGTTTCATGTATAACAATGAAACCATCCCAAAGGTGGTCTATTATGCGAAGTGCAAAGATAAAAGTAATGTTGATCATGAAACTAATCTCCGAATTGATGATTGTTTCTACAACAACCAAGGAACCATCCAAGATTGTGCATGATTATATGGTAGAGAACCATGTTAACACTAGATTGTCGAGAGCTTTTGTTGGATGCAATAAAGAAGTGTACCAATCTATCCACAGCCTCTAAGCTCCACAATGAGATTGAGCACCTCCTCGCAGCAGGAGACTGCTTGGCATGCAATTTGGTGGTGCGAATGTATGGGAGGTGTGGATGCCCAGAGGCAGCATGGCAAATCTTCCGCGGCTCTACATCACGGAATCGATTCTCGTGGAATGCCATGCTCTCTGCCTTCGCATCAAACAGCCACCTTGACCAAGCAAAGCAGTTGTTTGATCGAATGCCCGAATGGGATGTTGCTTCATGGTCGATCATGATCACTGCCTTCTCTCGGCATGGCTTACTCCTACGGGCAAAAGAAGTTTTCGATTCCATAAGAGAGAGAGGCCTTGTAGCATGGAATGCAATGATCTTAGCATATGCCACAAACGGGCATTTGGATAAAGCAATGCAGCTCTTTGAGCTTATGCCAGAAAGGAGCTTCATCTCTTGGACCACAATTCTATCCAAATCCACCAACTTGTTTCAAATAACGACACTCTTTAGCTCCATGCCTGAGAGAGATCTTGTTGCTTGGAACACTCAACTATCAGCACTTGCCCAGGCTGGGCATTTGCAGGAGGCGAAGGGCATCTTCTCCAACATGCCAGAATTTGATGCTCTGTCTTTTACGTCCATGATTCAGTGCTTTGGCCAGCACGGGCTTTTGGAAGATGCCAAGTGTTTCTTCCTCGCGCTGCCTCACAAGGATTTGGTTGCCTCCACGGTTTTGCTTGTCGTCTTGGTGGAAAGTGGCTGCTTTCACGAGGCAAAGAATCTGTTTGAGTCGATGGAGTGTACCGATGTGGTTTCATGCGCGGTAATCCTGTCCGCTTACGCAGATCACGACGACAGCAGCATCGCGGAGGCTCAGCAAATTTTTTACAACATGCAGCGCCACAACGCGTTTGCTTGCACTGCAATGCTGCGCTTGTATTCTCGGCGAGGACGGACTCACGACGCCGAAGCCATATATTTAGGTCTGCCTGATCAAGGCGAGCATTTAGTCCCGGCAACCGCTCTCATTACAGCATATGCTAGCAACGGGCATCTGGAAAAGGCAAAGAAACTCTTTGATGGAATGAGGGAGCGAAACGAGGTTACCTGGACTGCCATGCTGACAGGATATGTAAACAACCACAGGCTAGAGGACGCCCTGTGTATTTTTGAAAAAATGCCAGGTCACGGCGAAATACCACTGATTGTGCTCGTGTCGGCATATGCCCGAAGTGGACATATGCTTCTTGCCAAGAGAATTTTTGACAACTCCAATGAAAAGAGCGCTATTGCTTTCAATGCTCTCTTGTGTGGTTTTGCATCAAATGCTCAGGTCAAAAGTGTGTTCGATTCAATCCAAGAAAGAAACCAATCTTCATGGAGTGCAACTCTTTCTGCATATACCCAAAACGGGCATCTGGATATGGCAAATCGGATATTCTTAACAATGCCGGACAAGGATCTCATATCTTGGGACACAATGCTGGCGGCATACTCTCGGATTGGGGCCATTTCCAGAGCCTTGGATGCTTTGCAAACCATGGTCACTACTAATACACCTGATGGAGCTAGCTTAACAGCTTTGCTCACATCGTGTGCTCACAAAGGCACTATTGCCATAGCTCGGGATCTCTTTGTGTCTTTCCAGTTTGATCACTCCATCAAACCCTCAAAGCAACACTACTTGTGTATGATTGGTGTGCTTGTCCAGTCAAGGTATATCCAAGACGCTGAGAATCTTCTGTGGGAGATGCCATATTACCCAGATTCCATGGATTGGAAGTGCTTGCTTGGAGCTGTAGCGAGTGGAGATGCAATGAAAAATGCCATTAGTGTGGAGCCTAGTAACAGTGCTCCATATGTTCTTATTGCCAATTCTCACATAATTACATAGCTTAGATATTTTCAAGAGATTATATAACTATATCAAATTTTCTTAGAAGGTGGCATGGTTTTGGTTAGCTATTTGATTGGCATTTCTAAAGATTCCATGGAATCCATATGGAACTCTAACAGGCAACTCTATAGAAGCCATTATCTCAAGCGTGGGTGATTTGGCATCCACCATTTTTCTCATTATGCACGGAGCTTAAAATGACGTATCCATTGTCTTCCTCCTCGCCATTCACCACAAAACTTACCACGTTCGAATCTCCTCGACGCCACAACGCATGGCTCGTTTAGATCCGGGTCACTTGTTCCATCGATTACCGCCTGGGCAGCGGTGGAGCGTCCAGATCGACCTTGGCCAGGCCTGAGATTTTGAGCCATGGCCATAGTAGCACATGTATACGTACCGATTCTTCCGCCCCAGGAATTTCTGATTCATCTGTCCAAAATCCAGTCCAGCCGAGCACACGTGTTTCTTCCACGACCGTCCAGATCGAAGGTCCAGGTGGATCTCGTGCAATCTGCTGGACAATCCGGTGATATCGTCAAACAGATGTTCCACCGGCCTAATGGACGAGCCACCTGAACATAGCCCCCTGCCGCTGCCACTGTTCCCGACATCGCCCCGACAACTACAACTTTCTGTGTGTCTGCCGCGCGGTAAACATCCTCCCAAACGTCACCTGCATGAACCTTGACCGCACTCTGACCGCCTTGACTGCAACCTGCCGGCCTGAAGTCGTCGCTGAAGCTGATGTTCCTCAGGTCCCGGGCCCAGACGAGCTGGGATGTGTTCGTTGTCTGATTTGGGTGTGTTCGCTGGAAGGACACGGAGCTGCTCGAGCACACCAACCTCTGTGCGATCCACCCGATGAGTTGGGCCCAGAATGTACGTATGTGTAGCTGGGCTATGTTCGTTGTTTGATTTGCCTGTGCTTCCCTTTGAACAGTGTTGGGTATAAAATAGCTGAAGTTTTTGGTTTAGACCTAAGCCAGATACAACACAACCACTCATAACAATCTTGTCCGTCCCTACGTGTTGATGTAGTGGAATGATGTCCAATCCAGGACATCGATCCAGCAAACGCCGGAAGATCCAACAGTCGGGATGCAAGGGATCACCCCGAATCTGGGAACCTTGGCGGTACCTCCATCAATGACCAGTTTGTTCTTGAGCACTACATCCTGGATGAGCTGATTCTCTGGAAGGATTGCGTAGTTCTCTGTTATCGTGAAGTCGTGAAACAAGCACGGATCCGGCAGCCACACGTCGAAATCGGGGCTCTTCCTCCCAGAAGTAGCGGAGGTGGGGATTGATCACTGGATTGAAGCTAACCGCGAAGAGCTCACCAGACATTGGATCGATCTTTGGATGAGTGCACATCAGCAAGAACAATCGCTTGTTGAAGCTGTAGCGGCCCATGGTGATCAAATCCCCTCCTGGGGTGATACTCATGGCATATGGCATATCATCCTCGGACATAGCCAGGATTCGGCGAAACCTCCAACGCTGGTTGATATCGATCCCATCCCACCGAAGATATTGATCAGGCCCAGACATTGCGACCAAATTAACTGTGTAATTGGCATACCTGAATATATTGATCCCTGCAATCGAATTTTAGAGCTATGATGGTCTTGAGATAAGATCGATATTTTAGGGCTTACTCTGTCTTGAATGGAAACAATGCGCGTGAGACCAATAATTGTGTGTCGGCATGCTTCTTGGAGGGGATGAAAAGGTAAAGGTCCTATGCTTCCTAGACGGGCACGAGTGGACCAAAAACAAAGCTAGATATATTCAATCTAGATTCATGTCTCCTAACGCCCCCCACACGAAATATCATCTCTGCTTTAGAATAATGTAATTTTCGATGGTCATGCGTTCGCAAACGAGGTTTTGCTGGATGGAATAAAGAACCACATCCAATTTACCCACGTCCAGCCACAATGAGATCAAGCCCTCAGTGGCGGGAGATTGTTTGGCGTCCAATTTGGTGGTGCAATGTATATGAGGCGTGGATGCCCATAGGTGGCATGGCAAGTCTTTTGCGGCTCTAGATCCAGGAAATGATGCTGGTTGATTGAATGCCCGAGTGGGACGAGCATGACCACTGCCTTCTCTCGGTATGGATTCCTCCGACAAGCAGTTATGCCACTAACAGGCATTTGGATAAAGCAACGAGCTAATGCCAGAAAGGAGCTTAATCTCCTGGAGCACGATTATTTAAGGATATGGTCTTGTTTCTTGCCCTGGTTTGCTCTTATTACAGCTGGAAAAGTTAAAGCATTGAATGTGTGAAACGACAATGTGAACTGCCATGCTGACAGCATGTAAAGAACCAAAGGTTAGAGGGAGCGCTGTGAATGTTAAAAAAAGGCCGGATAACGTTTTGCTAAGAGAACATTTGGATGCGAATTTTAGTTTGCTTGATGTGCATTGTAGCATTTTTTTCTCTTTCTGAGCAGAATTAAGATAGTTCTGCTGCGATTTGACTAGCGAAGAATTGGCAGCGTGGAACTTTCAGACTTCAACAAATATTTTGTGTCTGGATGAAACCTGTCGTGGAAGAAACTTCCCTTCATTTCATGGTTTATACCTAATGCTCTATTGGCTAGAGTTTGCCAGTTCTGCAAACGTGAAACTGTTATGGAAGGATCTTCAGAAATTTTTCTCCTTTAGCAGATCGTTACCAAAATTTAAGAGAGTAAACACAGGAAAATGATGAACAACAGCAAAAGTTCCACGCTGCCAATTCTTTGCTAGTCAAATCGCAGCAGAACTATCTTAATTCTGCTCAGAAAGAAAAAAAAAATGTTACAATGCACATCAAGCAAACTAAAATTCGCATCCAAATATTCTCTTAGCAAAACCATATGCCCATTCCGGGCGTATGCCGATCACGCTGTGATCCAGCCTTTTTTCACCCCTCTAACCTTTGGTTGTTTACATGCTGTCAGCATGGCAGTTCACATCGTCGTTTCACACATTCGATGCTTTAACTTTTCCAGCTGTAATAAGAGCAAACCAGGGCAAGAAACAAGACCATATCCCTACATAATCGTGCTCCTTTCTGGCATTAGCTCGTTGCTTTTTATCCAAATGCCTGTTACTGGCATAATCAGGAACGTCTTCTGCTTGTCGGAGGAGTCCATACCGAGAGAAGGGCAGTGGTCATGCTCGTCCCACTCGGGCATTCAATCAACCAGTTGCTTGGTGACATTCAATTCCTCAATCTAGAGCCGCAAAAGACTTGTCCTGCCACCTATGGGCATCCACACCTCATATACATTGCACCACCAAATTGGACGCCAAATAATCTCCCACTGCCGAAATTTGATACGGTCCTTTATTCCATCCAGCAAAACCTCGCTTGCGAACGCATGACCACCTAAATTACATTATTCTAAAGCAGAGATGTGTGGTGGTGCGTTAGGAGACATGAATCTAGATTGAATATAGCTAGCTTTGTTTTTGGTCCACTCGTACCCGTCTAAGAAGCATGGGACCCTACCTTTACATGATGTTTCTATAGTCTTCATCCCCTCCAAAAAGCATACCGACACACAATTATTGGTCTCACGCGCATTGTTTCCAACCTCTGATTGTCCCCACATCCCAAGTAGCTAGTAACATTCTCCACCTCAGCCCTACAATATGATCTTATCTATGCGAGGCGTGTGGCCCAATCCATAGCTCTGAAATTCGATTGGAGAGACCAATGTATGTATGCCAATGGCACTGTTCTTAGTCGTTGATTGTGTCTCAATGCATGCCACAGCTGGCATTGATATTGGTTATAGCCTTACCAACTTCTCCTTTCCTGCTCTACCCAGGAGAAGATCATCGAGGATCACAGCCACGACTACCAATTCCTCTCGCAAGTATATCAATACCCTTGGATTCTCAATCCCCAATCCGATCGAAGAGGCGCGGGGTAGCCCTGTGCGACACGGTGGAGAATTTCATCTCCATGTACATTGATCTTCGCGGGTTTCCTCCCTCGCAAGACCCCCAGATCTAGCTCGCGGACAATTTCGCGCCGGTTGGAGAGTTCCCGCCAACGCCGTGCCGCCGAGTCACTGGCGAGATCCCTCGCTGCCTCCGCGGCGGTGCTTACATCCGCAATGGCTCCAATCCACTCCATCCCCCTCCCGCCGGCTACCACTACTTCGATGGCCACGGGATGCTCCACTCTGTCAAGTTCGGCGATGAAGACGAGCAAGCTCCAGTCTACTGCGTGCGATTCACCCAGAACAATCGATTCGTCCAGGAGCAAGCAGCGGGCAAGCCTCTCTTCCCCTACACACTGGGCACCATGAGCAGCTATGCCGGGCTCGCACGATTCGGGCTGTTTGTGATGCGCACGGCTCTGGGCCTGATCAATATCTTGGGCGGGATGGGAACCTCCAACGCTGGGATGGCCTACTTCGATCCGAATCCTGGCCATGTCCGAGGATGATATGCCATATGCCGTGAGTATCACCCCAGCAGGGGATTTGATCACCATGGGCCGCTACAGCTTCAACAATCGATTGTTCTTGCCGATGTGCGCTCATCCAAAGATCGATCCAATCTCTGGGGAGCTCTTCGCGGTTAGCTTCAATCCAGTGATCAATCCCCACCTCCGCTACTTCTGGGAGGAAGAGCCCCGATTTCGACGTGTGGCTGCCGGACCCGTGCTTGTTTCACGACTTCGCGATAACAGAGAACTACGCAATCCTCCCAGAGAATCAGCTCGTGATGAAGTTCCAGGATGTAGTGCTCAAGAACAAACTGGTAATTGATGGAGATACCGCCCAAGGTTCCCAGATTCGGGGTGATCCCTCGCTTCCCGACCGTTGGATCTTCCGGCGTTCGCTGGATCGACGTCCCGGATTGGACATCGTTCCACTACATCAACGCGTGGGAGGAAGGGACGGACAAGATCGTCGTGCTTATTGTGTTTGACCATCGAATGAATTTTTATTCATGAGATTTTGGTCAATATACACTCCTGGCGTCCTAGCTGGCACTGGTGTCTGTCCGTACATCGTACGGCTTGTCACCGTAACACTCCCACTCGGGCAGACGCCAAGTGCAGCCCGAAACTGAGAAAATTTCGGCTGGGAGAGTGCCTTGGTCAGAACGTCAGCAGGCATGTCCTGAGTAGAACAATACACAAGCTCGACGATTCCATCTTCGTACTGGTCTCGAAGAAAATGGTGTACTGTGTCCATGTGCTTTGTTCTTGAATTGATCTTGCGATTCTTGCTTAAGGCAATGCAGCCCTGATTGTCGCAATAGATCGCTGTTGAACCTGGAAGAGAGTGTTCCATGTCCGTTAGAAGACGACGAAGCCAGATGGCCTCCTTGCAAGCAGCGCTAGCAGCCATATACTCAGCTTCGCAGCTAGAGCAGGCCACAACACTCTGTTTCTTGCTGCTCCAAGAAAGAGCTGCTTGTTGCAAGCTAAAAAAATAGCCTTTGTGTGATCTTCGTGAATCTGGGCAACCAGCCCAGTCCGAATCACAGTAGCCCTGTAAGCGTGTGACTTTTGGCGTGTAAAGTAAGCCAAAAGAAGTGGTAGCTCGTAAGTACCGAAAAATTCTTTTTACTGCTTGCCAATGTGCAGGGCCTGGATTGTCGAGAAACCTGCTTACCATGCTCACTGAGAAGGCAATGTCTGGTCGCGTGCACACCACCAGGTACATCAAGCTTCCCACGGCACTTCGGTAAGGAACGTTCGCCATTTTCCTCCTATCCGAGTCTGTAGAAGGAGACGTATCCTTTGAAAGTCTTAAGCCAGCAACCATTGGCGTGGGTGCAGGCGCACAAGAGTCCATGCCGAATCGTTGCAGGACATCTTCCACATACTTGGTTTGATGCAGAAAGAGAGAGCCATCTTTTCTGCGATCAATCTGGATGCCAAGGCAGTAGCGAGCTTCACCAAGGTCCTTCATCTCAAAATGAGATGAGAAAGCCACCTTGATTTTAGCTAGGAAAGCAAGGCTGTTGCAAACGAGTAGAGTGTCGTCTACATACACAGCGATGTAAATCACTTCATCTCCTACTCGTTTAAAGTAGAGATTCGGATCGTTCTTGCTCCTGGAAAAGTGAGATTTCACAAGAAAATCATCAAGCTTTTTGTACCATTGGCGAGAGGCTTGCTTCAAGCCATAAATCGCCTTGTGGAGCTTCCAAACGTGGCTCTCTTGTCCTGGGACCTTGTAGCCTTCTGGCTGCTCCATATAGATGTCCTCATCAAGCTCTCCATTCAGGAAAGCCGTCTTGACATCCATCTGGTGTACGTGCCAATTGTGCGCACCCGCTAAAGCGAGCAAGGTGCGAATGGTAGTCAGCTTGACCACCGGGGCAAACGTCTCAGTGTAATCCACACCAGCCACTTGAGAGTAGCCTTTCGCCAGCAAGCGAGCCTTGTAGCGAGAAATGGTGTGGTCTGGGTTGAGCTTGATACTAGGAATCCACATGGATTTCACTAGTTTACGCCCGGCCGGAGCTCTTTCCACCAAGGAGAAGGTGTTGTTCTTGAGAAAGGAGTTATACTCCTCATCAAAGGC